TTTGTTCATGATGTTCATGCTTGCTGCCATTCATCGGTTGAAGCAAAACCACCCTCAAGCAAAGTCAAGGATGGATTGCAGCACGGACCAAGGCAGCATGCGGACGGACAGATCTTCACTCATTCGAAACGTCCGTCTCTGGCCCGTGGTCATCAGCCGATGCAAGGTGCACCGCGAAATGGAATAGTTCGTAAGCTGCCTCCGTTTCCTCCTTGCGCTTGTGCGCGATGCCGCTACGGCCGTTGGAATCCTTGTACCTTCCTCAGAACCAGACCTCACACTTCTCATACGCACGAAACGTTACGTGGCCCCCACATCTGACGGGCCAGCGTCCGAAGAATCGGAAGGAGCTCTGCCCAGGCCGCCATCATCTTTGCCGCCCCAGGTGTACAAGGCTCCCCTGCAAGTTCGCGACACGCTTTTCCCGATGAGCGTGTTGCACTCACCGCCCCCATGGCAGCTCCACGCTGTGCTGAGCTCCCCCATCTGCAACAATCACGAAGCGCGTCTGCAGCTGCTTCGAAGACACTTGGAAGGGTCTCAGCTGATCTGTGAGCTCCACATCTGCGTCGGTATGCCTTGAGACGTCCCATGACCAGTTTGTCAGCGGACGCGTCAAGCCACAACCCCGTACGAAAAGATGGCAAACATGTGATGATCACCTGTCAAGGAAGCCCTTCGCAGAGCGGGCACCGCCTGAAAGTGCTGCACAAACCCATGTCTAACCTAGCCATCGCCGTTCAACCGACGACCAAGCAACGGCACCGTCCGAAGAAGCAACATGCTCCCCAGCACCAACTTCCAGCGGCACGTGCTGTGGCCGTAGCAGTTTCTGCTTCTCTGGTTTGGGGACCTCCCGCTCTGCAACCTGCAGAACCAGGGCAGTTGCACCTTGCACCACAGCTTGCTGGACCTGTTCCGCAGTCATGGAAGTAGCGGCACGCACAGAGCCATCAGCTTGATGAATGCGCACGACCTGCTCGCCAGCGACTTCGCAGCCGCCGCCTTCACGCGGTGCCAGGCCTGCGACGCTGCCCGAGCAAGGCAGGGTGCGCTCGGAGAATCCACAAGCGTCTTCCAGTCCAAGCTGTCCCATGGCGTTAGAGCCCCAAGCGAAGACTTGATTGTGGCCACTCGGAGCTGCTAGTGCCACCGTGTGGTTAGCGCCACTTGCAATCTGCAGGCATACCTCCAGGACCAGCGTTGGTATGCGTTGGTGCACTCTTCTCCAGGACCTCCGTTTCCTGCCTGCGCCCCCAAACCAGACCCGACGCTTCTCATGCGAGGCACAGCTGTGGCAGTCTCCACACGAAACATGGCGAACTGCGACTCCACTTGGCATATCGTTGCAGCCCCCAGCTGTACACAGCTGCCTGTTTAGGCAGTTGTACGTGCATGGCACCGGCGGCACGTTCGCAGATACAGTATGCTTCTCACGATTAGGGATTTCGAGAGCGTGGGCTTCTTGCCCTGGGCATATCCTCGTCCAAACCCAGCTGATCGCATTCGCCACTTCCATTCAACAGGCGAGCCTTCTCCGCTGACGCGCTCCGAGAGGTCCGAGTGCGGAAGGCGCGATCTCCCAGAAGCAGATCCCCGCACGTCAGCAGAAGTAGGCGCCAAGCGAACTGGCCGACGAGCTTCGCCACGAAGTCTTGGGAAGACGAGGACCGGGGTCGCATCTGCACACAGCGCGAGGCACCTAGGCTTGCCCGCACTGTTGCCTCAGCGTCTGCTGTGCTCCTGCGAACTTCCGCAGGGGGTTTGGTCAAAGGTGACATCACAGGTTCTGGCTGGGGCTCGGCCTTCAATGGCACCTGTGCGGGTAGTTTTGCGGCGGCCAACTTGGCCAGCAACTGTGCTGGCTGTGAAGCCGAGTTCAAGTCCACGTCTCGAAGAGACAAGCCACTGCAGAACGCGGGTTGATGACACACGGCCCCCTGGCTTCACTCCAAACCGCTCGAAGAGCAACTGCACCAGATCATCCACATCCGTCTGTGGCAGACTTGGACTCTCCTCTGCAAGCATCACCGTCAAGCCAAGGGCATCGAGCGTCCCGGTCGGCCCGGGAATGCCTCAGCACAAGTTCCTCCATCCTCTGCCTCGATCCTTTTGTGCCTCACGGCCCGCAACTGAGCCAAGGCCTCGGCTTCCAAGCGCCAGAGCCGGGCCCACCCGATGCCCCGGAAACGATAATGCAAAGATCTACAAAGCGACATCCGCTACATCACTGCAGGAAGCTTGGACTCTGGCTTAGTGGCGGCTCCAAGACCCGTGTCTCCGGCAAGTCGCCCTACAAGCTGCATCGTCCCGGGACACATGCAAAAGTGGCGCAAAGATTCCCGCACCCTCCAGATCAGTCTTCTTCCTGGCCAGAGCTTCATCTTCCGGCCGGAGCAGCCTTGCAACAGTTCTTGGCGGGAAGACTAGCAATGACTAACAGCATGCCGTACATGCCACTCTTTCCGGCAGACGGCAGAGAACAGCGACCTATAGATTCTGTCGGGTCGCACAGCAGCGCTTACATCCACCACTGCACCCTTGAGCGCACCGAGGCCAACCAGCAAGTCCTTCAAAGCGAAGTCTGCACGAAACGTCAAAATTCTTGAAAGTGCGGAGACCGACAGGAAGCCCGGTCGCCTTGGGGGCTCTGTGTTCGACTCGGAAACTTGCGGCGGTTGTGCGTGGCTGAATCTTCGACAGTAGGCCTCTCCGGAGGTAGGTCCCGGCGACTCTTGCCGGCTCGTCAAGCGCTTACGATGTCCTGAGCAACAGCAGCAGCAGCAGCAGGATTTCTTGGGTATTGGGGGGGTCAGCTTTCATAGCAAAGCCGCCTGCGCTCAGAGCCGCAGCTCGCCTGCGTCCACCGATGATGATGTGCAGCAGAACATTTCGCCCATGGCCTGGCGGTCTTCGCCGCAACATCGAAGACGAATGGCACTGACAGTTGGGGCCGCTGCTTGGAAGAAGCCAAGAGCCGTTCTCCGCTGCCACGCGGCCTGCCCAGTTGGTCGCGAGGCCGCGGATGCATGGTCCGAACTTGTGCTCCGTACGGGCCTTGTCGTGGACGCCCTGCAGCACCTTCCGCATGGTTTCGTCCGCCTGACGTTCCCTTTCCTGCACAGGGCTCAAGCCAGTGACATGCAACTACAGCCTACAGCACAGTACCTCAGTCGAGCAAGCCACACAAGGGTCATTCGGACTTTGGCCTCGCGGCTGATCTCCCAGTTGATCGGTTCTACCGGAATGGTGAAATCCGTCCAGTACAGGTATTCCCACAACAGCATCCTGCATCGACAAAGTTGCAGAAGCCAAAATCTGAATCACAGAGTTCAAGCTCCTGGGCAGTCCGGTCTGGGCGGGATGTAAAACCCGTTCCTGAGTCTTGAAACATAGATCTGCACGACGACGGGGTTGTTGCCACCGTTCTGTCCGCCGCGAGAAGCCGCAGGCACGGGCGATTTCTGATCATATGTCTGCATGCAGTTTTTCACATGCCTGGTGCTGCCATGACTGCTGCAAGCTGAAAGCAAAGACCATTGAAAGCAACAGCCGCTTGGATTCTTCCGAAGGCGAGCGGAGCCGCCGCTAGGTCGGGTCATGCAGCTCTTTGGCATAGCGTCGGGTCCCTCACGGCCTGCAGGCACAAGCCAAGAGACCAAGACCGTCCTGAACTCGAACCGGATGGCCTCCGCAGAGTCCGCCGTGCCGGGCTCCTTTGCAGCTCCAGTCTCCTCCTTCAGTGGGCAAAAAGGGTCTACCGTGGCGTGAGGCCTGGAGCACGGGGTCTCCCCGAGCCTCCGCGCAAGGATCTTCAGAAGAGACCTCGGCCAAAAGGAAGGCCAGACGGGATGCCAAGACGTCAGCTCAGGCGACATCTTGAACGGAGGCGCAGGCCGTTTGTAAGAAGGAGCGGGAGTCACCCACGCGGAAGCCGACGTGGAAGGAAGGTAGTAAAGGCAAGGGCGAAGAAGGCGAAGAGCCTGCAAAGAGAAGAGACCTACCGGTGGAGGAAAGCCTTCCCTTCCGGCACTGGCGAGATCCGAGGCCAAAACCACGCCGCCCCTGCAGAGCGAGCCCTGGCGTTGTCAGCCTGCTCCCGGGGCCTTGGCTTTCTGTCATCCGGCTGAGTCCTCCGAGGCCAGCCGAGCTGCATAGATGACGATTCTGGCAGCCGTAGACGGCTGCATTCACCCAACCTCCGAGACCACCGAGGCAGCGCTCCGAGGCACCCAAAAACGAAAGAGCAAGGGGCGACATGCAGCCGCGCAGTCTGGGTCCCGCGCCGTTGCTGTACATGGCCAAGCTCGCCAGCCGGCCGCTCCTGGCTGCGGAGGGCCGACGATGACGAGGACTCTTTGGACACCTTCGAGTCCGAGGCCGAAGCCACACGTTCTCCGGGATGACCCGGATGTAGAGCAGCCAGTCTGGAAACGCCTCCGTCGACAAGAGCCGGTACTTCTCTCTCTCGCTGCCTCGCACTGCCTCGCGCTGCTTCTGAACAGCTTCTGAGGGTGCGGCAGTGATGAGGAAGCCACACGGATAGGCCAAGGCACGCAAGGATGCGCGCCTGTCAGGACTGGCTACCGTGGCCCTGTGACTAGCAGACTGCACGTCTCTCGTCCATCAGGGTGTCCTCACGACGGCGCTCGGTGACGGTGTGCGCAGGACTGCCACCAAGGACGTCAGATACATTAACAGCCTCGGAGGATGGAACCGAATGCCGCCGGATGCAACATTCACGGCTGGAGCCCCCCGGCGTGAGCAGAAAATTCGTGAACAGCACCTAGGGCTGCAGCTTCTTTGACGAAAATTCCGAGGAGTCACGAGGCTGCGGCGACTTCGAGCACTTTGGTGAAGCCGAAGGCTCTTTGGCCTCGCGCACGGCCCGGGCTTCGAATGTAAGGGGCTTCAGACCGTCAGCCGAAGAGGAGGCCTTCTGTGTGCAGGTGCATGGCCACGGCGTCCACGGCCTGAGATCGGAGATCACTGGGATGCCCCACAGAGAAGCCTCTCTCTCGGAGCCCCGGCGCCAACGGCAGCTGCTGCCGGCCACGCGAAAACCAGAAGCTTGGCCTTGGGAAGCGAAGCGATCGGGATCCAATCATGGAAGGCTTCTGGCTTCGCCTCAGGAAGCGGGCCAAAAGACTGAAGCACCGCTGGCTATGCAGAGCGCTCCCCATGACCTCGGAGAAATGGTCTCGTGTGGCGTCGCCGTGCAGGTATTCAGTCCGAGAAGCTCCGGCGGCGATCTGAGCTTCCACAAAGCATACCACGCAGAGGAGCGCATGGAAGAGTCCGCGACCTGGATTACACGCATGCGTCCCTCTTGTCAATACTTCTGCATGGTCCAAGCAATCAGCACCTGCACGTAGCATGAAAGGCGTGGTACTAGTATAAGCAGCCGATAGGGACCAGTTTTGCCGCAAGCGACCAGTCGGACGTGCCGGAAGTTGTGGCAAAGAGATGTGTGCAAACAGCTGTCGGACCACATGGCCGTTGAATTCAGCCCTTGGCGCCCTGGAACTTCTGTGCGTTTCACCATACGTTTATGTTTTTAGAATACTTAGCAGACTAAGACCGAAGCAAGCATCTTGCTGGAAATGCTTATGTACAACTACCTTCCACCGAAACATGTTGAATAGAACGATTGCACCTTGGCATCTTATACAAGCACGAACCTTGTGATCGCACACGTCGCATCACTCTTGAGTACTATCCCTCTATACAAGTTTACTACTTCACGAACAGAAAGGGCGAGTCAAATTGCACTCTTCACAGCACTCTCGTGGCAGCGCTGAGGTCGCTGCTGTAGCAGAGTGGTGCCAGGGGTGCACTTAGCATTGTCCACCCCCGAATCAGATTCTGCTGGAGCATCCACATAACTGGAACACCAATAGTGAGTATCAGCTCAGCTGACTCAGTCGTTAAAGCATTCTTCACTGTGGACTGAGCAGGCCAAGTCCCGTGAATTCTCGACCAGCAATGCTGGTGATCACAGAGCTACTACGCGCATCCATCCACGAATGATTCGTCCCGATTCTGAGATTCCTGCCCTCGCGGAGATCGTACACAATCAGATCTACCCAGCAGCCAGAACATCCACGGGCAGCCAGCCGCCCTCGTGCACTTTTTTGTCCAGAAGCCAGCCCCAGATGTAGTCGCAGCGATGGGCATTGGTCTCCTCTGGTGGGGCGCGCGTGTCTCGTTGAACACGGATCTGCATTCCCTTGGCTACTGTCAGGTAGCCACCCTCTTTTTCCACCGCCGTTCCGGCGTAGTCTGAGACAACATACATCAATGGTGTAGGATCATCCTTGTCCTCCAACGTGTCCCTCCAGACCCTCATGTAGAGCTCCAGGGATGCTTGCAACTCGTGAGTCATGGCCGACTGGGTCTTCTTTCCATTGATCGCCATGATGATGTCTCCCTTTTTCAGGGTTTGGTCCTGTATCTCCGAAACGCAATATCTGCGCAGCACCTCGTTCTGACGCTGGGCGCTGTAGAGGACATCCGTCACCTCAAAACCCACGAAGGAATTATCGGTGCGGCAGATTGGTCGGTAGTGTAGCCCGACTGTCTCGTCCGCACTGCGACGCAGCTCAAACGGAAACTCAAAACTCGCCTTCTTCTCACCATTGGCGTTTTCAGACATGCCTCTGGGCTATGGTTCTCCTTGTGCCATGGGGAAGCAAGGTATGCTAGCAGAAGTGATCTGAAACACAAGGCGCCACACACAACCTATGTGGTGTGGTTCTGAGTCGCCTTTGTCCACCCCCGTGCCATCTTCAACCATCTACACAACTCTTCACTGGGTAGAGAAGCAGCTCGTTTTACGATACGACAAGCGACATTGCACTTGAGCCTGGCTCGTTTGCTCAGCACAGCTTTCACAAGCAGATGTCCTCACTCAGGACTGGCTGGACTATCCGGATACCGTTCGGGAGCCGGCGTCAAAGGAAACAGCAGAAGCTTTTTGCTGGAACATCCTGGTCGGCCGCAACTCTGGCTCAGAAGATCTGCCGCCACATCACACCACAGCTCCTGCAAATCGGATCAAACATCCACACAGTACACGTTTCAAAATTGCACCTGACTGCTGGGATTCGGCGCCCAATGGGCCCGTCGTTGCCAGGGGGCATGTGCAAGGTCTACGGATGTCCGATGCTGAGTGAACTCAGCAAACCAATCGGGCAGCACATGCGCACACTCGGACAAACTCGGGTGCACACCGATGGACTTATGTTAAGAGCATGGCAAGAAGCAAGTGTGCAACAGTGTCTAAGTCTTTACTGCACTCTTTCCTGCGTCATGTTCTTGTGCAATGTGTCATGGTCATAGTCGCATCACTCCGGAAGCTGCCGAGCAAGCCTCTCGTGCAAACGATTCCACAAGAAGCCAAGACATGAAATGTCTCAACACCCGACCACTTCCAGCCTGCGTTCCGGGACGGGGCCGCCGTTAAGAGTCCGCTGCGGGCCTCAATGCACCTGCGAGTTTGAGGCGGCTCGATGCTGCCAGGCACCCGTTACTTCGCACGGTGTCAACAACCATCCGTAGAGAACCTTCGCTTCTGTGCTCCCCAGTACAACGACCAGACCTCTCCCAACTCTCCAAGTGACGTCGTCACGAGAGGCCCACGGCAATCAACCGGTTCCAAGAGCTAAGGCAATGAATGACCCTCTGCACAAGCCTGCTCCACCCCTATCACCCAGGAATCACAGCCAAGACTGAACCTGGCTGTTGTAGTCTTGTGTGGGCGGTGCCCTGTTCGAAATCTCGAGCTGGGACCTCATGGCATAAGCACTGCAACTGATCCCCTGAGTGGCAGTGCTCAGACGCCGGGGCCCCGGACGTGTCTGCCTTGCAATAATCACTCGGCCTGACAATGCTGTCGAACAACAAAGGGATCATGGACTTAATGGACACGGGCAAGGCGCATGCTGGGCTGCAGAAAGCAGCTAAGTTCGCAGCATTTCCTCGGCATTGTACGTCTTCACCGAAGAGAGGCTGTGCCTGATGCTGGCAAGGCAAGCCAGCCGGCGGCCAACCTCACGTCATGCTGCTTTCGGAAGGCTGCGAAGAAATTCTGAACATTCCTGAACCATGCTCTTGCATCCCTTGGCGGCACTTCCAAGAGCCCAGCACAGCACCCCGTACAAGCTCAGGGTACACGTGCCTCCATGCAAAGACTTTCAACACGGTCCTTGTGTGGGTGGTACTCTGGGACCAGAGGATAGAACCATAAGCATCCTTACTAGCATAAGTGTTACTATCATTCACTTATTACTAATGTAGTGCCTCTCAGAGATAGTTCATGCGAAGCAGGCATTTGGCCAGGAAGACTTCGAGATCAATCCTCAACCCCAAACCTTAAACCCCAAACCCTCAGCAGCCCAAGAAAGCTCAGCGGATGGAGCCCTGGCGTCCGGAGCTCGGGGGCGGGCTAAACCTTAAACCCTTAAACCCTAAACCCTAAACCCCAAACCCTAAACAAGACCTTACACCCTAAACCCTTATTTTTAAAGCCTAGACCCCAAACCCTGAACCCTAGACCCTTAACCCCTCCTGGCCGAAGATCCTGGTGGACATGATCGACTGACATATCCATTCCTCCCTTTGTGAAGTCTCTGCCGAGGGCTTCTGCACTCGTGTCTTGCATAAGAATGTCCTATACAGCTATACAGAACTAGGCTACACGCCGTCGCTGCCTCACTGAAACTAGCAAGAACTCTTTACAGTTGTTGCTGAGGGCATTGTGCACCTCTCCTGCTTTAAAGTTTAGCGGCTAGTCCCATCGACCATGCTAGGACTGGAAGCATCTTGGGAAGGACAGGCAAGAAATCTCTCGCCTGCCAAGGCGTAGCACAGAGCCTCATAGTAGGATGCGCAGTCGAAGCAGCAGTCGTAGACGAGCAGCGAACGGCGTCCTAGAAGGCAAAAGAAAGACGCAAAAAACTCCTCCAAGATGCTGCAAACACAAGCTGCAAAGACGAATGCAGGGCGCCGCCTCAGCGGAGCCCAAAGCAGAGACACCCGGAACTCCATGGGGAATGCAGGACTACCCACACCGCACCTGCTCTGGCCCTCCTGTGAGGCGAAGCGGACGAGCAGCATTATGGCATTCTATGGCATTCTGGTCTTCCGTCTGCCTTTGCGGCTCCGTGGCATCTTCTCTCTACAGCTGTGAGGAGTTGTGCCTCTGAAAAACAATCCCAACCCACGATGTTTTGGACAGATGTTCCGCCCTGGCCACGGATGACCGAACTCCGAGAACTGAACCTCGAAACACCTTTTTGCTACGTGGCAATCAATTTCGCGAACCACCCTGTCTACGGAGCCATGCGCCTTTCCGCCACAGATTAATCGAGATGATGGTGAGGAGCGACATGGCTCACTGCCCTTGTCAGGTACAAGCCAGCTGAAGCAGGCTGAGTTGGCCGCTTTCGATGACAACGAAAGCGGCCAACTCAGCCTGGGTGGAGTCGTGTCTTCTGGGTTCCATGGAATACGAAGCGTTTGTTCGTGTGGCTCTGTGGCTCCTTAACTGTTTGCCTTCCAATGACGCACAGCATCCTTAGTGTGTGATGTGAGCTGGTCTCGATTTCGATCACCATGGCCCTAAGCTCTGAAGGGGTTTGAGGTTCATACCACATCTCTGCCCATTTTATTGCAGCTTAACAGCTGCAAGCGATAGCTGGGTTTGAACCAAAAGTCTTGCAGGGGCTCTGCCAAGAAATCACCTCCAAAGATGGCTGGGCCTCGGCATCCGAGGACCCCACAGCAAATATTGAAAAGCGGCGGAAGGCCAGCTCCCACAGGCCAGATTGCCCAAACGGCAAGCCTCTGGCGTGCATCTCATGTTCAGTCCATCCACTGCCCAAACAACATCTCGCGAGGCGGGGCCCCGGCTCGTAGCCCGGGTCCTAAGCAGACTCGGGAGACGTCGCTTTCAAGATCTGCACGCACCTGGATCCTACGACAGCCAGGGGTCCACCAAGGACAGGCATAAATCCGCTAAAGCCAGGTGTCGAAGCTGGCCTCGGACGGGCGGATTGAAATACAAAGGACGACCACAGCAGCAAGTTCCAAAGAAGAATACTCGTGATAATGCGATAGCAATGTTGGTACCACTCGTTCACAAGGATGACAACCCTGTCGAGCATGCTCATATGGCTGGTGA